TTTGATATAGGATCTAAGACCTTGCTAGATATTGCAGATTAAGTATTTACATATAGTATTTGTTTTATGCACAATATGTCATCTACTGAATCACTATGCTTTAGCATCAACAGTATTAAAGCAGCACCTGATGCGTATTAGAGCAGTCATATCCTTCCAGAAATTTAAAATAGCTATAGGGAAATTTTAATGGCTGTTCTTAAACTTTCTGCGCTTAAATCTCTCTGCTCTAGCCTATTATTGGTCAACCAGTTCAGGTTTCATTGGGCGTTTTCTTCAGCGTGATGGTGTCTACGCGACGAATTGAGATCACACAGGTTGAGATCATGTGGTAAGGGCAAGAATTTAAATTCCAACCCCAATGAAGTCAAAATACACACACTCGATGAGTCTTACTTGGGAAATACAGTGAGATTCTCAATTACAGACTAACAAACCCTTAGTCTACTCAAATTAAAAAACAAAAAAAAACCCAAACCCAACACACCCAGCCCCAGCAACACACTTCCACTCCATTTCTCATCACTATAACTCATTTGAATATCTTTAGCTGTTTGAACTAAAAATCTACTATTGAATCATTCTCATCTGCTATGCACACATTTACCAAAGGTTGTCAGCCCCAAATAAAAAGTTTTAGAAGTTGGGCAGATGTTGGATTCCTACAAAAATGAGATTCTAGAGCACCATGCTGTAACAGTGTGACAGGAAGGAGAATCCTTAACATACACATTTTGCATGAGGCTATGAACACTGTAGGAGCAGGCTATAAGCTATGAAGATCATTATTTAAAACTATTTCACCTTTGAACAGATCTCAAACACATACTTGCTTCTACAGCAAGTCTCAAATCTCACCAGAACATGAATGGGCACTCCAGATAATAGTTCCCAAAGATACAGTGAAGGTCTATCAAGAAGTGTCTGGGTTGCCTGCTATACAAACCTGGAGAGTAAGAGAGCTTCTAATAGCAGTAGAGCTCCAACCATTTTCCATTTATAGCCATGGGAGTTGTCCATTAATTTGAACGGGAGAAGACTCAAGAGAACACACATGCCACTCCTTTTCATACAAAATTCTTAAAGAAAATGGAGGTTTGTCACTCCTTGAGGAAATCTGATACTTAACAACACCTGCATGTAATGAGTATCCAAATGAAGAAGTCATAAAGAGCCAACTGCCCTTTATTTAAAATGCCCCTTGCAAAAAACTTGCCGTACATTCTTTTGAGAGAAGAACCATCAGGAATCCCACAGCCACAGAATTCAACATCATCTCCAGAACCATAAGCATCAATAAAGCCTGAGCATTGTGTTGAGAAGAACCACACTTATACTGAAAACAAGGTCTAGAATACTGCACAGTTACAATCAGAGAGACTAGGATTTCAAAGACACTTTCTTGCAATAGAACAAGCTTGGATTTTTAAAAATACAATCATTATGTACAGCAAAATATGTGGCCATAAGACCAGCCTTAAACTAAGGCCTTGTTTACACAATTTCTGCACTGTCAGGAAGTATTTTGGCTGGGAATGTCATTTTTCTTCCAAATCAATTAAATATTTGCAATTCTCACTGTGAAAAGAACTATTACCACCTTTGTATTGACACGGGTGTAACATATTCCCACAGGGAAAAGGAATAAAAGAGTACCTTTATATTGATACAACATTTTCCTCAAGTGTAGAAGCTAATATAGCTTTCATTATTCAGTCAAGTTAAAGCAGTATGACTTTCTTCTACTTTATAGACAAGGCCTATGTTTAACAAGCACCAAAACACTTCAGAGTATTTGGAAGATCAGACTACTGAGCTCTATTTTTTGTACTGTCCTCACCAAATCATAGAGAACATTGAACATCTAAATACATTCAAAACTCTGATTAGACCCATGCCATGGTTTCTTAAGTCCTTCACTGTTTAACAAACACACCTTTTTGGCAAGAACTAGAGTGTATCTACAAAAAAGCCCAGCATAATCCAGCACTTACTAGGCTGCCTTCAGCTGCTCTACTAGGCTGAGAAAAACTGGACTTTATGTGCCACTGTGTGCTACAAACACCCATTTCTGAATCATTCCTCAGTCAGAACACAGGCAGCAGGGAAACAGGAGGCACTAGAAAACATGAAGAATCTGCTATCTGTTGGGGAGAACAGAATAAATATCTGCTTTTATTAGCGGAACAAGTTGCTTTCAATACACTGATCTGGAGCAAGGCCTGTTGGGTGCTAAAAACTGTATAATCCCATGGAATTTAAGGCAAAATTGAACCATAGCAATAGCTGAGATGTAAATTTATGGCATTTTTTTTAAACTTCAGTGCAAGACGGCTGCAGTCAAGCTTTCTTAGTTTTCAATGCAGCACTTTTGTTAAAAGAAGTCTCCACTATTAATAAGCATTATTCCCCTGCCCCTCTAACATGGAAGACCATGAGGAGCTGGCTTCTAATTAATTTTTAGAAATTTCTGAAAGATAAGCTGCAAAGAGGTTTTCAGTTTTCACTTAAAAATGGGGGACTGGATCAATTTGTCTGTTATATGAAGGCCCCAAGCACAAGTTGAGGGACCATCACTAGGGTTGCCTTCTCCAATCCTCTTTGTTTTTAACTGTGATTGTATCAGTCGGACCAATACAACCCAACTGTTGCTATCAGAACAGGTCCTTGCTGTTTTGAAGGATACATGTGAGCTAAGGAGAAGAGATATGTTCAATACTTAAGTATATAATCTTTTCCAAATGTCAGTAGGTGTTGCTAAAATAGGTATCCAATTTTCAACTAAAACACAAGATTATCATTTTAATTTCAATCACTGGGATTTCAATACATAGAACTAAACTAATACTAAAAACTGTTCTTCCAGTGCTCAAGCAGAAAGCTTTCCTATTTAAAATAGAAGAAATCATCAGATTCACAGTAGGAATCATGGCAGTTAGTTTTCAGTTGGCCTGATTAAAAACCCCTTTACACATCATTGCTCAACTTTTGCTTTCATGTGGTAAGATAACTTCAAGTCTTCTTGGGATGGGGGGGGGAGGGGGGGGGGGGGGGGGGGGGGGGGGAAGAGTTGCAGGTTTTGTGTGCTAATCTTTAAAGAAGGAGCTAAGAAGCTAAGAGAGGAAGATAATGGAGGTAAACAAACTCCCTAGATCTTCCAAATAACAGAAGGTACAGGTCTCCTCCCACTCCAACCCCTCTGCAAAACAGAAAAAAGTAATGGTCTGATGCATAATTTTAAAGAGTTATAATGCAATGAGACTGAAAGCTCAAATTTTATAAATAATCGACCTTTAGAATTTTACCCCAATAAACCATACTGTTCCCAGTAAGGAATAAGGGCCTAATCTTACAAGTCCTTTTGTGTTAAAGCCACACTACCTTCCTAAAGCTGCCTACTGAATACAGCATTCCACTCACATGCTGGCATCACATAGGGTCGGGACCTAAATACAAATGAAAAACTATATTAAAAATGACTAAATATTAGGTAAAATAGCAATCTTGTGGTTTGTCTTTTTTTTTTTTTTTTAAACACTCTCCTTAACTAAATCAAGCCCCCCCTGCCTTTCACTTCTATTAAGATATAAATCAGGATTAACAGCTTATGTGAAAGTTAGTGTTCCATGTAATACATAAAAGCGCACAAAGTTGTTTTCTAAAAAACAGCATTTGTATTAAAATTCTTAAAATGGATAGACATCTCTTAAATGCATGTCTGGAATTAAAATGACAGTTGTTAGAATTTTCTTGGTACATCACAACGGTAAGATTTCCTTCTTTGCTGGCTGGAGGTACATCCCACAACAAAACCAAAGGAAAAAAAAAGAAAAAAAAAAAAAGCCCACCCCCCCAAAATCCCAAAAGGCTAAATTCTTGTAAATTTGAAGTAAATGAAGCCTGAACTTGCAAGACATGGAAATTACAGTTAAAAGGCTCAGATGGAAATAAGAAATAAATTCCACTAACAATAGGCCCTTTTGTCCTGGCTTGTTCGGTATGATTACTGCAAGGAAACTGTTAAGTAGTTTTTGGAGTAGTAGATAATGGGATTCTGTGGAGCTTTCACAGGTTGGCACCGGCTGGAACAGCTGAGTTTTGAAGGCACTCTATAGACACAGGGTTGCTGTTGGCCCTGCATCACATGTAGGAAGTCTTTGCACTTTAGAGAGCTAGTCATCAAAATCAGTTATTGCCAACCTAAAAAGAAAAACCCTCGGAACAAAAACACCACCGCTCCCACCCGCCAAAGAAAAATTAAAATAAAAACGAAATCACACACACACGCACACCTAAAAAATTGTGCAGATTTGTAACGTTTTCACAGCTGATTTAAAAAACAAAACAAAACAAAACCAAAACAGGAATTCCCAACACGCTACCACTCTCCTGCAAACTCCCATCCGATACAGCAGGTAAACAAAATAGAAAATTATTTCACGAATCATCAGCAGACACTTTCTGGCACCCCACACTGTATTGGCATCAGTGTTTAAGTTAAAGTCCCAGTTCAGATGTGCAATTCTCCAGGCTGGACGCCCCGGCACAACCACCCAACTTTGCATAGAGATCCTGGGGACCGGCGGCGGGGCGCCCCACGCGTGGCCGCGGGGGAGGGCTCCTCACCGCTGCCGCGGTTTCTCCTC